ACCTAAGTAGGAATCTTGATGCAAACAGGTATTAGGTGCTTGTGTGAGTTAGAATCCAAAAACGTTTCTAAAAAGCTAGGAATAAATTAATTTTAAAAATTAATATACTTTAAATATATTAATATTATAGGACTACTTAACTGTATGATGAATTCATTCATAAGGGAAAGAATAAATGAAACTTTGAGAAGAAATATTTATACTCTAATATATAATTTGTATATCTAGATTCTCATATATCCCACTTGCCCAAAACAAGAATTATCTGTATAACAGAAGAGAATAGGTTGATTTTAACTGAAGATTTAAAAAAAAAAAAAAGCCAATCCCAGTAAACAGGCTTCATTAGATCAGGTATTTCTGTCTATACTATTTACTTAGGATGAATGATACCTAAACTTAAAAGTTCAATAAGTACCTGGTTGCGGTGGCTCACACCTGTAATCCCAACACTTTGGGAGACCAAGACGAGTGGATCACCTAGGTCAGGAGTTCGAGACCAGCCTGGCCTACATGGTGAAACCCCGTCTCTACTAAAAAAAAATAGAAAACTTAGCCAGGCATAGTGGCGGGCACCTATAATAAGCTACTCAGGAGGCTGAGGCAGGAGAATTGCTTGAACATGGGAGGCGGAGGTTGCAGTGAGCCGAGATTGTACCACTGCACTCCAGCCTCAATAAAAAAAGTGAGAATCTGTCTCAAAAAAAAAAAAAAAAAGTTCAATAAGTACTTGCTGAATGAATGTTCCAGGTAATTTACATTGTTAGAGTATCAGAGTGGGTTTATGTGGCCTGTATTTCTGGTCTCAACTTCATTGTTACCATGTATGGAACATCTGTTTATTGTGGTGAGGGAGGATGTGAGAAATAAGAACAAGACAAAAATTATGGGATTAAAAAGAGTGCACTAAAATCTGAAAAGCTATCAAGCCATATTATAAAACAGATTACCTAAAATGATAGTAGCAATCCAAGCTCTTGATAGAATTCAAATTGTAAATTTCATGAGGGAGGGGTAAGACGTTAGAGAAACCATAAGGTCTCATCCTGCCAGTGAACAGGGAACATATTAATTCAGTTTGGCCACCTGGGGCCCATTTAGTGCACTAGAGCAGTAATTTGCTAAATGGGTCCCTCATAGTAAAAAAGAATGAGTAAACAGTGAACAATTTAGGCATGGTAAACCACTAGTAGCTCAAGGGATATAAAAATGTGAAACTATAATTAGATCTCTTGTTCATAATGTAGGAACTAAATGTATTACATTGTATATTGCATCTTTCTGAGTTTATTTCTGGACACAGCTGAGCCCTTAACAACTCAGACTGAAATCAGCCCAGCTATCAATTTATGCCTCCATTAAAATTCCAACGGCTTATATTAGAAAAGAAACGTCCAAAGATGACTTCTTTTATCTTGGATCTAAGGATGCAAACAGAATTAACCTAGATGCAGAACACAGCAAGTCAGTTTTAAATTACACAGCATAAAGTAAACTGTGGCAATAAATTGAAAATTACGTTCTCCTTTTCTAGACTTAGCTGTGAAAATATAACAGGTTGGCATCAGGATTTACAACTTTTGCATCTGATGTTTCTTTTCAGGGTTATCTTTTAGCATTTTAAAATGGGATTCTTTGAAAAGCGTGGTTAGTCAGAAATGTGGTATTAGAACATACATTTGGAACACTTTAGAGGGGGGGTATTCATGACATATGTGGTTTTAGGATACTGGTGTATTCCCCACTCCACTTTTAAGTAGGAGAAGCTGCTATTTCATGGGTGTCTGGAACACATTTTTCTTATTTGGAGGCATTTTATAGTGTGCATTGGCTCAGATGGTCTGGGTGATGTTTCATGATACTAGCAAGCTCTAAGTAGAAGTTTCATTGCCCTTTATCAATTTGTTCTTTCAACTACCAGGCTCCAGTTGATCTGGTGGTAGGGGATTATTTATTCTTCAGGAGCTCTCATTTTCTTTCTGTCTCTTCTCTTACTCCAAGCTTAGTAACATCATTGGAAGCTTGGGGTAGAACAAGGGAAGGATTACACTGTGGACCCTGGCCCATTTGCTCTTCTCTTAGCTCTGATTTTTATTATTCTGCATACAATGGAATATGTCATCTTTCAGATTATGGACTCTATGCATGAAATCCAGGAAAACCTTATTTTAGATACCCACCCCTGCAAACACTGCTTTTATGACGTAGGAATGTATTTCCTTCTTCTTTATGCTGAGATACTGTTAACAGTATTCATCCTGTTCATTGCCTGCCTCCTCCCACCACCATTTAGTATTAGGTATCCCTGGTACCAAGTCCCTATCTGCCAGGAGTGTGTGATGGCTCTCCAGTACCCCTTTCCCCAATATTTGGTTACTAAATTCTTTGAGCAATGTCTTTTTTCTTTTTTTTCAGACAAGAGTTTTGCTCTTGTTGCCCAGTCTGGAGGAGTGCAGTGGCATGATCTTGGCTCACTGAAGCCTCCGCCAACTGGGTTCAAGCAATTCTCCTGTCCTAGCCTCTTGAGTAGCTGGGATTACAGGTACCTGCCACCATGCCCAGCTAATTTTTTGTATTTTCAGTAGGGACGGGGTTTCACCATGTTGGCCAGGCTGGTCTCAAACTCCTGGCCTCAGGTGATCCACCTGCCTTGGCCTCCCAAAGTGCTGGGATTACAGGCATGAGCCACTATGCCCTGTCTGAACAATGTTTTTTGTACAATTTTTTTCCCCTTGAAGGAGGTGTTTTAGTTATAAATGCCTTCAAAGAGTAAACAAAATTCCTAGAGAATAAAAAGGCAGAGCCATGGTGATTGTGTAATGTTACCTGATAGGAACTATAGGTGGATTAAATACCTGTATTGTAATTTCTTGGAGAAAGGGCAATGGTGTGGAATTTATGATGAGAAGAAACATTCTGGGTTGGGTGTGGTGGCTAATGTGTGTAATCCTAGCCCGTTGGAAGGCTGAGGCAGGCAGATCACTTGAGGTCAGGAGTTTCAGACCAGCCTGGGCAATATGGTGAAACCCAGTATCTACAAAAAAAATTAAAACGTAGCTGGGCATGGTAGTATGCCAGTAATTCCAGCTACTCAGGAGGCTGAGGCAGGAAAATTGCTTGAGCCCTGGAGGCAGAAGTTGCAGTGAGCTGAGATCACGCCATTGCACTCCAGACTGGGCAATAAGAGCGAAACTCTGTCTCAAAATAAACAAACAGGCTGGGCGTGGTGGTTCCCATCTATAATCCCAGCACTTTGGGAGGCAGAGGCAGGTGGATCACCTGAGGTCAGGAGTTTGAGACTAGCCTGGCCAATATGGTGAAACCCTGTCTCTACTAAAAAAACAAAAATTAGGCAGGTGTGGTGGTAGGTGCCTGTAATCCCAGCTACTCAGGAGGCTGAGGCAGGAGAATTGCTTGAACCTGGGAGTTAGAGGTTGCAGTGAGCCGAGATGGCCCCACTGCACTCCAGCCTGGTGACAGAATGGGACTCCGCCTCAAATAAATAAATAAATAAAATAGATAAATAAATAAATATAAAGGGGTTTGTAGGAAATCAGCTAAGGAATATAAACAGGTATACAAACTCCATGTTTTAGTACTGAAACCTAACATGGGCTTTGCTCTTTTAATCTTATTAAAGGATGCCTAAATTAAAAGACCATTCTTTGAATTTCTAGAACAAATAGTTTGTGTTGGGGCTACTGAAGGCACAATATAGATCAGTGTAATTGAAATATATCTTCAATATATTTGCTTCCTCTTTGCTTCCTTTCTTTCAGAGACTGATCCTTCAAGAAATGCACATTTTCATTGACTCCAAAAAATTTCATTCAAAGTTTGGTCTCTATTGCCTGACTTCCTAGAGTAGGTTACTTTCCTTGTTTTATGTCTGTTTCCAATGGTATTTCCCCCTTCTCTACTTGTATTTCCCCCTTCTCTACTTCCATCTCACTTTTTGAATGTTGTTATTTCTAAACTATGAAGGCAGGGACAGTGTCTGCTTTGTTCAATTGTTGTAACACAGTGACTGGTACATAATACCTGTTCGTAATTATTTGTTAAATTAATTGATTTGAATATGTTATCACTCTTGGGAGAACTTGCAATCTCCCTAATTTTTAATGTTGTTGTTGATTGAATTTAAATAAAATACATATTATTAATAGCTTCATGAGGCCAAAAGGTAAAATGTTAAATGAAAATATAGAAAATCATCAGGAATGTAAAAAATCATTGAGAAATACTTATTTTTATCTCCATGGCTTCTTCTATTCTTGTTTAATGAAACTGTGATAACCCAAGTGTGCCTTTCCTTGCTGTAAGCTCCAGTCGGTCTCTCTCCAACCCCCTTAACTCTTCATCTCCAAGTTCAGTAACTTAATTGACGTTAAAGCAGTTCCTGGATAGGACGTAGTTTAAAATTGTTTAAAATTTTCTTATGTGAAAATCCGGATTTAGGGCCTGGCCTGGCGCGGTGGCTCATGCCTGTAATCTCAGCACTTTGGGAGGCTGAGGTGGGTGGATCGCATGAAACCAGCCGTAGCAGCATGAAGGGACTCTCCATTCCCCACTACAAGACAATACAAAAAATGAGCTGGGCATGGCGGCACACCCTGTAGTCCCAGCCACTCCGAGGATGAGGTGGGAAAATCGCCTGGGCTCCAGAGGCGGAGGTTGCAGTGAGCCCGGACCACGCTACTGTACTCCAGCCTGGGCAACAGACCGACTCTGTGGCAAAAAAACCAAACCAAACCAAACAAAACCCGAATTATAAAGCAATTGCGGAGGATGGCAATTCAATTAAAAAGGTGTATTAAATTCTTTTAAATAGTAAACTGCCCTAGTCCAGCCTACAACATTGATTCAACTGACCAAAAATACAACTTTTCAGACCACGGCTAAACATTGTAGCGGTAGAAAATATTTTTTTCCTAAATGATGAAAGAAAAAATCCAGAGAAGACGTTAAGAGAGAACACATGGAAAAAGCCCATCTCATACCCCACCATGTCTCCATTCTAATGTTTCTTCTACTTTCCAGTGCGTTCCGCATCATTAAACTACTTCAGAATTCAAGATCAATGAGATCTCAGTCCTTTGCCATTTTCCTTTTCAAATACAGGATAGGGAGAGGACAGTCTTAGGGTTGTGACTTCCACCAAGCACATTCAACGACAGCCTCACTTAGAATTCCCAGACACCGCCTGTCTTCCTGGGTCTTGAAAAAGTGGGAAAAAAGTGAGGTTGGCCCACTCGCTGTCAGTGATCCTGCGGCGTGGCGGGTGTGTATCTATCTCATACAATGGGCGGAGGTGAGGACCAGGACCCGGGTCCTACGTACAGTTTAGAGTCTCTGAAAGCCCTCATCTTTAATTAGCAGGGAAAAGAAACGTCGTCTGACGAGCTTGAGTGTGGGTAAAGTACAAGTTAATGAACAAGAGCTTTCGCGTTCATTAAGAACTCTAGCAGAGTTCAACGGCAGAGGGCACAATACTCACTGGCCATGGCCAGCTGCCGGCGGCCAGGAGGGGCAGGGGCTAAGGACCACTGGGACTTGTAGTCCATCATGGTTCCCTCGGGATTGCCGGTACCCGGAGGAGAACCACAACCCCCAAAGTGCACCGCGCGCCTGTCTTCACCGCCCTCTCCGAGGCCGGCTCAGGAACCTCCTGGGAAACTGCCCCCCCCGCCCCGCCCTCGTACGCACGCGTCACGTTTGTTTACCCTGAAGCTCCGCCTCCGGCCATCCCACGGCTCTCCCCACTCCTCCCTGGAATGCCGTCATGCGGTGATGAATATTCATTAGGCACACGCGGCCCTCCCGCCCTGCCAGCCTCCCGCCTTCCCGCTTGCCGGCGCGTGATTAATATTCAATGAGCCCAGCTCCGCGGCTGGTTAGCTGGGGTGAGGCCCGGGGAGCGGGCGGGGCCGGCGCTGGGGAGCCCGCGACCGGGGCGGGGAGGGCTTGTGCTGGGGGGGCGGTGGCGGCGAGGCGGGCGCGCGGGATGGAACACGGAGACACCGACGGAATGCTCCGAATCGCCACATAATCCCCTGGAACGGCCGAGCCGAACGCCATTGGCTTCCTCCTCCTCCGCGCGCCGCCGCTGTCTCCCACCTCCGCCTCATCGCCTCCCTCTCCGCCCGCTGCCTCCGGAGCTGGGGGGGAAACACGAAGCCCCACTGCAATGGAGCCCGCCGCCGCGGCCACGGCGCAGCGACTCCCCGAGCCCGGCAGGGAGGACCGAGCTTCGGCTCCGGGGGCCGCCGCTGCGGCAGCGGCAGCGGCGGCGGCGGCGGCGGCGGCGGCAGCGGCCGCGGCGGCTTTGGCGGCGGCGGCCGGGGGCGGCCGGAGTCCGGAGCCTGCGCTGACCCCGGGGACCCCGAGCGGCGGGAACGGCTGCGGAGGGGCGCGGGAAGAGGCCCCGGGCGAGGCGCCGCTGGGGCCGCTGCCGGGCAGAGCAGGGGGCACCGGGCGCAGAAGGCGGCGCGGGGCGCCCCTGCCCAACGCTGGCGGAGCTGCCCCCGTGCCCGGGGCCGGCGGCGGCGCCAACTCCCTCCTGCTGAGGAGAGGGCGGCTGAAGAGGAATTTGTCGGCTGCCGCTGCGGCCGCCTCGTCGTCGTCGTCGTCCTTGGCCGCTGCTGCCTCGCACTCCCCGAGCGCCGCCGGCCTTCCCGCCTCCTGCTCGGCCTCGGCGTCGCTGTGCACCCGGAGCCTGGACAGGAAGACGCTGCTCCTGAAGCACCGGCAGACGCTGCAGCTGCAGCCGTCGGACCGGGACTGGGTGAGGCACCAGCTCCAGCGCGGCTGCGTGCACGTCTTTGACCGCCACATGGCCTCCACCTACCTGCGCCCGGTGCTCTGCACGCTGGACACCACGGCCGGCGAGGTGGCCGCCCGCCTGCTGCAGCTGGGCCACAAAGGCGGCGGCGTCGTGAAGGTGCTGGGCCAGGGGCCCGGAGCCGCCGCCGCCCGGGAGGCCGCCGAGCCGCCCCTGGAGGCCGGCCCCCGACTCGCGCCCCCGGAGCCGCCGGACTCCGAGGCGCCGCCCGCGAGGAGCGCGCCAGCTGCCGTCGGGGGTCCTCCGTGCGCGCCCCCCGCCGACCTGCCCCTACCCGCTGGCGGCCCGGGCGGGTGGACGCGCCGCGCCAGTCCTCCGCCCTCGGACTTCAGCCCCGGCGAGCCATTCGCTGGGGGCCCTGCCTCTCCACCCCGCGACCCGCGACCTGTGGCCTCCGACACCGAGAGCTTCAGCCTGAGTCCCAGCGCCGAGAGCGTGTCCGACCGGCTGGACCCCTACAGCAGCGGCGGCGGCTCCTCGTCGTCGTCGGAAGAGCTAGAGGCCGACTCGGCCTCGGCCCCGACGGGGGTCCCGGGTCCGCCCCGCCGTCCCGGCCGCCCTGCGCAGTCCCGGCCGCCTTCCCAGACGGCCTCCTCGCCTCCGCCGCAGCAGAAAACCCCGAGGGCCGTCGACAGCCCGGGCGAGGCCGCCCGCGAGGGGCCGTGCAGGGAGAAGACGGCGACAGTCGCGGCCCCGGGAGGCCCCCAGTCGACCCCCAGGAGGAGCGGGGCGACCGCGGAGAAAGCGCCTCCGCCGCCCCCGCCGCCCACCCTGTACGTGCAGCTCCACGGAGAGACCACCCGGCGCCTGGAGGCGGAGGAGAAGCCATTGCAGATCCAAAATGACTACCTCTTCCAGCTGGGATTTGGGGAGCTGTGGAGGGTGCAGGAGGAAGGCATGGACTCGGAGATTGGCTGCCTCATTCGCTTCTATGCAGGTAAGGAAGGCACCTACCTTGACGGGTGGGTGCAAACGCTGCGAAAGACCGAGGAGTGATTCAAATTGCTTATCAGTTTGCCCAACCCAGGAGCCAGTGCGGGTCCTGGTGAGTCTTTGTCTTAAACTTTACAGCTTTTTCATACAGTCTGTGTGGTACTAAACTGAGCAATCTGTAAATCTGCGCGTTTTTATCAATCTTGAGGTCTCAGAGGTGGGAAAGCAATGTGGAGGAGGTGGCTGAATCACCACGAAGTACAGGAAGCAAATCCCCCTGAAAGCGGCAAGAGCACGTTTAACCATAAAGGTGCTTCCTCAGGGACTTGTTGGGTTTCAGGTTGTTTGGGATTTCAGGTAAATGGTCATGTGAGCGAGCATAAGACGGACAGAAGAAATGACAGCAGAAATGCTCTAGAACACTCTTGCCTGCATTTCACTGTCCAGTTGAGTGTTCTAGCTGTGTGTGCCACCGGGAGCTCCTGACTTGTCAACTGGTGCCTTTGTTTATTCAGCTCTGCCACACTCATAAATTACCCATGGAGTCCTCATTAGAAACCTGACAAAAGGGTCGTTTTTTCACTGATACTTTTCCCCAGCGCTTTTTTGCTCGATTTCTGTTTTGTCTGCAAGTTTGTCTTGCATAAAAAAATGATTTTTCCTGTTTCTTCTCGCATTTCTTCCAGCCTTTATGGTCAGAAGTGACCACTGCTGTGGGACTTGCAGGAGAGTTCACAAGAAGGATTTAGGTGTTACTATTTCTTCAGATGTGATCTAAAATCTTCCCCATCTTTTTTCAGTACATTATCAAATTCTTGACTAGGGGTGACCCACGTAATGTTTCTCTTTCGGCTAAAGACTTGACTAGTACTAAATTCAGGAGCTGTTAGGTCCTGGATATTGTACTTGAGTTTGATAAGTAGTTTGCATCCTTTTCTTCCTCTGGTTTGAATAACTATGTTCTGAGCGATAAGGAATTTTATTTTAAATAAAGTTAGCATAGCAAAATTAAATCAGGAGTGTTAAATCTTCGTCAGCTTTAGGTTTTTAGGTTGTAGATGATGGTGGAAGAACAATCATACTTATAATTCCATTAATTTGTAGTCATTCTTTACAATTTAATGTCTTTCGGTCCAGCTTGTGTCCCAGTGGCAGTTTAATTAGTTTGCAAGAAGAAATATTTACATCTTTACTCCCACATTGAAATATGCAAGACCGACAGCATTTCTAGTGAGATGTCATTTTAAATTTCTTGGAAGTTTTTCTGAAATTCTTAAGTGAATTTCTGATGAATCTTTTCCTTGTAAAGAAAACCAAATAATAATACAGTAGCATTTGTAGTGTCTGAAGACAGTTGGTCAACTGGATGACATGCCTTTTAAAGTTTATGGCCCAGGAAATAGATGATTTATTATGTAAGATCAACAGCTGTATCTGTTTCTCCTGTAATTCATGTAATTTGTAAAATATTATTATTTTACAAAAGCATTAAAAATAGGCATCCTTATACCTACCTGGAAGGAAATGTATATAAAACAAGGGATGTGTTAAATAGAGTTTGAACACATTTTATATGGAAAGAGTGTGTTATCCCTTGTTTTGCTCATGATTGATATGTCCATTGTGATAAATGTCCATGGAAAGGTTTTGGGTGTCATAGTTATGAAATTTAAATCTTTGTTTCCCTTCGATTCTCTTCAAGAGTGTCCCAAGTATTCTAGTGGGTAATAAGCACTTGTTTTTTCCTCAAAACTCATCTTAATACTAAAATGAGAAATCTTTCCCAGTTAAATGTTTGGCATGATCTTTTAATCTTGTTTTGTTCTCTATGAAAAGCAGTAATTGTTACCTCATTCCGCACTTACTGCCTTGTTTCTGTATGCACAGCCATAAATGCATTCATGCCGCCGAGTATATGCTTACAACTAATAAAGTGGGGATGCCACACAGTATCCACTCTGTTCTTGAATTTAAAGCAGTGTACAGGTGTCCTAGAAGAAAGATGCCTGATTGTTACAGTTACCTAACTGCTTGTTTTTTAAGCAAAGTTGAGATTATTTTAAGCCTGGGTTTATATGCCACACATCTTTGCTCTTATTCATTTGCCATAGTACAAAATTTAGTATGGTGAATCCGCTTGAATTTGTGCTAAGAAGTTCCGTTATTGATGAATGAAGTGTAATCTCACTTATGGAAGCATTGTCAGGACTTCACATATAGTGAAGGTTTGCACCAGGCTGGAAGTGATTCCTAGAAATTCTCTCTGTGTTCCAACAGAATATAGGACACCTCAACAGGAGAGAGTTACATTTTGGTAGAAGTTTTTTTTGTTTTTGTTTTTTCTGTAGGAAGAGGATAATTAATGTTTGTTTTAGATGACACCTTTTACAGGGTTTTTTGAAAATTCTGTACCCCATTGATAATTTTATATATAACTTATTTTTAAATTTATTGCTACATGTTGTTTGTTTATGTATATTTGGGGTTCAGGATAGCTAGGAAGTTGCTTTCAAATTCTTTTGAATATTTTTCTTTATTTAAATTATGCTTACCTATTGTCTTGAGGGTCTACTCTTAAAAATTACCTTTCTATTAAATTTTAGTGTTTGTAAGCTGAGTAGGGTTGTTCTTTAGATGCTTTGAAACCCATTTGTGGTTGCTTTGAATATTTAAATATTTATTTGGGTAAAGTAAAATGAAAGTCCTTAATGAATAAAAAGGCCTTGGGTAAAGGTACTATCTAATTGCGGAGTTGTTAATGAAAACTTGGTTTCAAAGTTGTTATAGCATCTACCAGGCCACCATTCTCTTAGCTGACTTAAGATATGAGAAAATTTAATTAGCTTTATCTGAAGTTACTTAAGTATTAACATCCTTTTAAAATCAGACATCTTAAATTTTGCCTGAGAGAGAGTAATTGTAGGTTAAAAAAATTCAAGAACTTAGGTTGCCTGACATAAGTTGTGGACTCCTAAATGTGAATGAGCTTTTGTTTTAGATTCTCTGGGGAGCCTTTGTCATTGATGTAGGGCAGCATTAACTGTATCTTTTTATATTTTTTTGACTCTTTTCTCCCACCACTTAGATCTGAGTAGTCTAGCAATTTAAGTTCGAATTTTAGTAATGACAAAGGGTGTTGACAGAATAAAGTGCACACTCACTGTACCTGGTGAATCTTGGACAAGGCATTTTTATGTGTGACTCCTTGGGATTTCTCTGGAACAATCTGCATCCCTTTTATATTCCCTTTCTTTTCTCTTCTGGGAATGATCAAACCTTATGTGGTTTCCTACATGTAAACCAAGAGGGGTAGTTCAGTATTAAGCTGTAATATTGACGAGTAGGTTCTTATTACTATAATTACAGCAGCATTGAGTAACACGGTTTGAACATGTGACACCAGTGTGTGCTTGAACAGTCCCTTTAATTTTCAGTACAGAGGGTGTACAATTTAAAAAATATTTTAATTTTAATGTTTCTATTTATTTGTTTTTGTTGTAAAGTACATGCCATCCTTCCCAACTGTGATTTGATAACATCTGTAATACATTGGATTTTATTATCTTCAAACATCTTAAAGGGTTTTCACATAAATTATTTCATTTGCCCTTTCAAAAACAGTATTAAGGAGGAGTCAGTGACAATCTTCTTTTCAGACTGAGAAACTGATGCACAGAGAGATCTGACCCTTGCTTGTGGTTTTTCCATCCTCGGCAGGATGGAGAATAGAGAGCTTGGGTATTCTGTTTTGCAATTCATGAATCGATGCTAAATTAAATTTACACTTGAATTTTTCACTTGGTTAAAAGCATTCCAAAAATATGCTGTTTTTGTTGGTTATGAGGTGATATACTCATAGTGGTATTTCTTGTGAAATGTGGATGGCTCTGTTTATCATGCTGTCTTTAAAAATATAGATAACCAAGACGAGAAATAAGTAGACAGTATGGAAAGAGAAGTAAAGTGTTCTAAATATTCTGGTTGCAAATAGTCATGCTTGCATTTAAGTTGATATGAATTAAAGTTTACCTAATAGTTCTTTATTCTCTTATTCAGGCATACCTATTTGTTAAACTGTAAATCTTCATTGGGAAGAAAAGTGGATGACTTTTGAGGGGGGTGTGTGTATTGTGTGTGTGCATGACAGTTCAGTTTCTTTAAAATACAGCTTTTAAAGTAACTGAAAATATCTGTCATTAAATATCTTATTTATCTAAACCTATTATTAAAAAGTGGAATTGTCTGTCTTTTAATGATGCTTTCTTGGTGTTACTATGCTCTTGTGTAATTTTTATAATTCATATGTTATAATAGTACTGGAGAGTAAGTTCTTCTCCCTGAATTTCAGTTATTTCTAAATAACTAAAATTTTTTATGCATTGAAATAATGTAGGGGCAGGAGATGAGTGTAAATGAGTTTGTGTAAAGTTTTAGGTTGAAACTTTTATCTTTTGGTTGCTACAAGATTGTCAAATCACCCACCTTAAATGATTGATATATACAAAGATGGTTATTTTTTTAAGTGTAAAATGTTTTTCTTGTTTCTCGTTCTTAGAATCCTGAATTTAGCTTTTCATTGACTGGTAACACAACGTTCACTGACATTGTATGTGATCAAAGCCTAGTGTAATACTTGACGTTTTAGTTTAACATTTGTTGAATTGAATTTTTGGAATTTTGTTAAGCAGCTGAGGGTGTGTGCCTGATTTTTCAGCTTCCATCCTGTTTGAGTCCCCAGGGATGTGTTAAACACACATACACACAGTGGCATTTCTCCCATGACAAGAGATTTTAGATGTGCCACATACTATTAATGTCTTCTATTTCATGTGAGTGAACTCTGGATTTTGAGAGAATAGCCGTCTCTCAAAGTTTTGTTAGAGTTAACAGGTTTTCTCCCCACTTTTCAAAGGCATCTCATACCTTAATTTTGCAGTGAATTTAATGAGACATCTGTCAAATGAGGCATCTTAGATTTAATGATTTTGTTATGTGCCAGGGTTT